AATTCCTTGATAAAAAATTATAAGGAGAAAATTCTCTAAGAAAAGAACAAGACTTTGAACAAAGAATTTGGAAACTCAATTCTCATATAACAACTCAAAGTGATTAGTAGCAAATATATATAGAGTTTGATAGTTTGTTGTGCAAGTTAAGCTAACTAAACTTAAGTGTAATGTGATGAAAAAACCTAGGGAGAGAGATGACGATTTCTCCATAGCTTCTTCTAGCTCCTCCAATCTTTATCCATGACTTTCAAACATCAAAGAAATCAAACAAAGATAGAAGAAGATGAGAACGAGTTGGCCACTTACAAGTGAAAGATAAACAAAAGATGTTGATCTTACCACAATGAGGAATTCCTTGACGAAAGATTTTAAGGAGAAAATTTTCAAGAAAAGAACAAATATATATATATATATATATATATATATATAGTTTGGTAGGTTGTAACGCAAGTTAAGTTAACCAAAGGTAAGTGTAATAAATGTTAACTTGTACTCAAGTTAACTAATTCTAGTTCAAATTTGAAATGAATTTGCCCTCCCATTTTGGATGTCCAAGTCTAGATCTATAACAACTAATGAAAGCTTGCCACTTGGCAATGTGCAAAAAGTGTGATGAAGGGTGTGCTAGTAGAAAAAGGGGTGTAGAAGAAAAAACGTCAAAAGTGTGACTAATGTGTGAAACATGTAACTTGGTGAATTATGGAGAGATAAAGGAACATGAACTGGACATCCACTTCATTGGAGAAATGTCCCCACTCTCTCATGATCCAAAAAAATTGAATAAACACATATCCAAACATTAGTTTCACCCCCTCCCCTAAAATACTAAATACATCCCTTACAAAGAAAAAAATTTCTATACTATTTGACTCAAAAATACAATGTCAAATGTAGAAAATATTTACAGAGAAAAAATATATAAAAAAAAAGAAAGTAGACTATTAAAAATGACTCAAAGCTTAACATAAGTTTAGGTCTTCTTTTTCAATCCTAACTCACTCCACTTGCCTCTTTTTGGATTAACCTCCTAAGTATAATTTCATAATAATGAGTTTGATGCAACTATTTACAAGGCACAGTGTTGGATTCGTGCTAAATTCTCTGACATTACCTTTTTCTCTCTATGATAGGTCTAGCATTATTTGTACTTGCAACGAATTCTATCTTATATAATTTTATTACTAGTAGTTGTTTTTTTTTTAAGGGGGATAAGCCTACTTTAAAATCTTATTGATTTTGTTTTACTGTTAAGTCGTTGCTAATTTGTATTATTTTGATATTTTCATTATTTTTGTCTTGGACTGTGAAAGTTAGGCTTATTCTTATGTACTAGTGAATCAATTTATGTAATCATTATTGTTGCATTCTTAAACCAAGTTGTAAGTTAAATTAGACTTTAATGTAGGTTACGATATATTAGACTAAGTAATAAATTGAGTATGTAATATCAGATGCAATAATAAAGTTAACTAAAATAATAAATTAGTCCAAAATAGAGAACTAAATCTAAGAAATGTTATGATAAGATTTTGTAGTATAATTTTTGATATATTTTATCCTTATAACTTTTATATTATATCTCATATTCTCCTTATTAATAATATAGATAGTTATTTAAAAATTATCTCCTATTATTAATCACCAACTATTATTTAATATATAATATCAAAAATTATTATTTAATACTAATTATTTTTATTTTTATTTATTTAAAACTATACATAAATATGAAATGACTTTTATACGCTAGTTATTGTATAATTGAGAATTCCCTTGGAAAAAAATCTGAACTTGGATGTTAAACATTTTCGTCAAAATTATTGTGAAATTTAGAAGCATACCACCAAAGAGGTTGACAATTCACCGCCAAAATTGTTGAAAAGTTACACAAATTTTCTTATAATTAGATTTGTGGAGAAACAAGATAAATACAAAATAACTCATACAAATTAATTATAGATTTTAATTAATTATATGTCTACGTCTATCGCAGATCTTTTATTAAAAGAGAAAATTATAAAATAAAAAAGTATTTACAAAATACTTTACTCACAACCAAATTACACCCGAATAAATAAATAAAAATAATATTTTACCTTACTAGTTAAAACATTTCTATAACTATTTTTTTTTTCTTTCTTTGCGTTTCTCTCGTTGTTGAAATGAATGACAAAAATATTTATTTTTTTAATCAATGATAAAGATGCTGATGCTATTTATATAGGTAGTAGAAGTTATCTTAATTTCCTACTTTTTCATCAATGAAACAAACACGCTTCAGTCACTTTTATAGAATTGTGTGACCTTGCTCTGATCAAAACAGTCAATAGAAAATATTGATTTTAAGGGGAAAAACTTTGTTAATTATTTCTCTTATTAGATTTCTTGAATATTAATTAGATTGCATATAGGATGAAAATAAGTCATATATATGAGAATTAAGCCTTACGTTGCTCATTTCAATACACCAAGTTTAACACTCAAAATGACAAAACATTTTAATTTGTTTATAGTTAATTTGTTCGTACTTCGTAACCCGTCCTTGCATGCAAAACAATTCCTCTTCAACAAGAAATTTATAAGTCATTATATATGACGTGATAATTAATACACTATTTCCACAGGGTGTACATGACTATATAGCAATGGATTCAATTTAATGATATAGAACGTCATAGTAATTATATTATAATGTTATATGTCTATTTTTCCTTAGCTGGACTTGTTATTTACATGCATGGAGCTACTTCTAAGATGGAAAAGATATGCCATCATTCTTCTTTAAGCCAAAAAGTAAAAAACAAATGTATTCAATTTATTTCACGTGACCCACTACGAAATAGGATGTGGCTTAAATATAAAGAAACTTCACAATTACGAAAGTTACATAAAGGTGTCAAGTATATATCTTTATGCCCCCCTTCATTGATAGTGACACAGAAAAAGACTGTCAAAAAAAGACAAACTTCAATGGGAACAACAGACTCGCAGAAGATTTGAATATATCTTTTAAATTATAGTTTAGTTGTACGTTCAATAAACCTAATTAAATCTTGCCATCTCTCTCTATTTATATACTTAAATATTTAAAAGTTATGTTGTCTGTGTATGTAACACCCAAACTCAAATCTCAAAATTGACAGTGATAAAGTTTAATTAATTGTCGTTTCATGCATTTCACAGTTCAATCATACTTAGGGTTTTTTGAATTAATTAAAATCTCAAACATTAGTGATGCAACATTTATATATACAGCCGGAATAAACTAGTTAGTGCCTATAATCGTAGTTTTAGCTAGTTTTGTACGCAATTATTTGGTGTTGTTCTACGCCTACATTTGTGATATTCGGTCTACATTTGAATTTATTTCAAATTTCATCAATATTTTAAAAAAGTATACTTGTTTTCATACAATTATTATAACCTACCCTATTTAAGGTGTATGGGCGCAAAAAAGACCAAAATAAAGGGAAAAAATAAAAGAGAAAGAAAATGTGTGTATAGTCATTGAAGAAGGAAAACAAAGAATCTAAATTTATTCTATTAAAATAAGGTCTTAGATTTAATTTTTTTTCATTAAAAAAATGATTAAAAGATGAGATTTCAATCAAAGATTAAATTCTCTCACAGATATTAATAGTCGTACATAATTTGTGTCAATAATATGATTAAAAAATATTTTCTTTGTGTTGATCACTACACAGTAATTAAGCTTTAATAATCCCTTTTATGATAAACCAACATATTCAACACAAATCTCTTCAAATTCAAATAAATTCTGTCGTGTAAGTCATATTATTACTCATAAACGCCGCGTCATTTCAAATATTACTGAAGTCGTACGTTGTCTATATAAACGTGCGTTGTTCTTCAATTTCCTTTTTATTGTCTCAGCTCCCTTGAAATTTGGGAAGTAAAAGACAAGAAAAAGTGAATAAAACGTGAAACACTGCCCCATAGTAGCTTTCAATTTCACACCTAGCATAATCTAAGAAAGGAAAGAATATATACCGGAGTGCACATGAATGATGAGGCATACATCGTAAACATTGTTATATTAGAACAAAGAAATGTAGTTACATCAAACATGCATAGGTTTTGTCATTGAATTACACATATATTCTTCTCTCTCTCACACATGCACACTCTCTCTGATCACGCAGAATGATGGCATTGTTTTTGAGAAAGAGATATACTAGAAAAGTAGGTTATAGGAGTTTAATTAATTTACGCTACATTATATGACACATTATATATACAGTACTCTCAGAAATTTAAGGGTTTTGATACCGTTGTCGTTGAGAAACTCTTCTCCCTCACTCTCTCACTTTCTCTTTCGATATGTTTCCAAACTCATTCAACTATTAATCTAAATCAGTTCTGCGGATAAACTTGTTAAGAAGTGCTTTTAAAAGAAAAGATTAGAAAAAAAAAATGAAATGAATTCTTTTATAAGTTAAAATTCGTCTATTTAAAGTCTGTTTAGATATAATTAATTAAAAGTAATTTTGAAAACTTTTTTACTGAAAATAAAAAATATTTTTCTTTAGAGAAACTTATATCTAAACAGACTCATAGATACGGTTTAAATTTTTTTTTTTTGAGAATTTTTCTATTGAAAATAAAGAATATTTCTTAATAGAGAAACTCTTAAAAATTCTTTTATATTTATATGCAAACATGCTCTATATATAAACTTATTTATAGTTTGCTCATAGAGTAAAACTCTTGAGATTTTTTAAGCATTTCTCTATCAAAAGAACTCATTATTTTCAATAGATAAGTTCTAAAAAAATTCTTTATTTTCAATAGAAAAACTCTAAAAAAAGTTCTTCTATACATGTACGTATCTAAACAAGTTTATAAGTAGTTTTAACTTATGAAAAAATTTATTTCAATTTTTGTTCTTAATTTCCTCTCATAAAAGCATTTCCCAATAAGTTTATCCAAACACACACCAAGACCCTTAGATCTCCACGAGTACCGTACACCAAGTCTCACATTACATTATGCACCGGATCCATACCTTGCATGTCCATCAAGCATGGACTCAACCTAAACATGAGAATGCAAAACTCCATCTCGTTGAGAGCCCCATCACCATCCAAATCACCCTCCATCAACATGCAAAGCAACTCATCATCCCTCACCTCCAAACCAAGCAAGTAAGTGCTCACCTTCAAGCTCTCGAACGTGATAAGCCCCATGTTCACATCCATGAGCATTCGAAAGCCGTTGCAAAGCTCCCCAATGAACCCTTCCGCACCCAACCGAGCAATCATGGAAGGGAAGCAATCCTCGAAGTCAAAACCGTAGTCTAGTTCCATGAAAAATGTTAGAGAGAAATGAATTATGGGTAGTGGCTTGTGGAAGAAGAATGTGAACAGGGATGGTTAGGGTGAATGATAAGGTGGGGGAATTATATAAGGGGAAGGTAACATAGGGAAGGAACGAATAGGTACGGTAAATAGTTTGCAAGTGTATCTGTTGCGTAGCTTCTTGAGGCTTTCGTTGTGACACGATGCTTCCTCTTTCATTGGACACTTCAAAGACTGGTCTCCTTCGTGGAAGATGCGCTTGTTCTTTTTTAACCATCACAAAGATAATAATCATAATCACAATCATATGTCATCGGTACGTAATATCGGGACTGGTGCTACTAATTTTTTTATTTATTTTTTAATGTATCCCACTATCCCCTATAATTTGAATTCAACTCCTCTCTTAAGATAAAGTTCATGGTACGAGTCTAATACATGAAAAGAAAAAAATAATATAGCACTAACATTAACCAATCAGTACATTTTCAAAAAAACAAATTTAGTCAACAATAAAATTGATAAATCATGACAAAATCTTGAATTCGAGTCTATCTCATGGACTGATAAAAACTATGATAAGGAATGAAAATTCTCCTAAAAATGGGCTGTCAGTTTTTTTCTTCTTCTAGAAATTGGTTAATTTTTCTTAAAATTATAACGATTTTATATTATTTGGTAAAAGGACAAGAATATGCCTTTTGGTTTTTAGTCCAATAACCAATGGTACAAGAGTTAACCATAAAATTATAATTTATTTATTTATGAGGAAAAGAAAATTGGTTTATTAAATAGACTAAAAAGGATACGTTAACTCGTCTGCAAAATTCAAATATAAGCCTATAGCTACGATGACAGCATTGCCTAATACAGGTTGTAGGATTTACGCACTAATTAAATAACTAAAAAAGTTAAAATCCTTTACCTTCTCTGAAAATTAAGAAAAACAGACCTTACTAAGATTCGTAAAAACTAGCGTCGAAAAGTTTTTGGTTTAGGGTTTTGGAGAGTTTTCATTAAGAATCCGAGGGTTTTCAGTTTTTCACCTTCACACATATTTTCTAAATCAAAATTATAAATCCTAAACCATAAAAGTATATAATACCACAATTTAAATTTATTTAATAAAGTATTAAATAATTTTTAAAGTTTGTAAAAATTTGTAAACTTAATCTACATAATAAAATTTTTTAATTTAATAATAGTTAGATTGATAAAAATTAATATAACCTATGAATTATATTAAGTGAAATAACTCTACTAAAAAATATTTATATAGAGTAAGTCAATCTCTCTCTCTCTATATATATAGAGAGAGAAATCAAATTATACACTTGTAACTTTTACAATTATTACATCATTCAATAATTTTATATAAAAAGTATATTAACTTATGTTTGTATGTCAAATTTTATTAAAATTGAACATCAATAAAAAGGCAATCAAATAGTTCATACTTTAATATATTTTGAAATTTATATATATAAATACAATATCAAACAATTTTATATTAATATAAAAGCTAATATATATGATCCAGCACTAAAAAAAAATTATCATATAGTAATACAATACTTGTTAATAAAAATTATTTTTACCTACACTACAAATATAATATATGTCCCTCAAAAAATATAATATATGGTTGTATATTGTTAAAAGGTGTAGGTAGAGATTATAGTGACACAATAATTGTTGAATTTCATTTAAAATCAACACTAAAATTGTGTATAAATGTACATGTATATGTTAAATAAAATTATACTTATTATACATATATTTTATCTATAATGACATTTTTTGTATGTCATTATATGTAATATTTCTTATAATATAGGAAAAAGAAATTTTCAATTTGATAATATATTTTGAAAAATAATTATTCAATTAAAAATTATTAAATAGTGTAATAATTAGTAAAAGTTATATCGATGTAATATATATATATATATATATATATATATATATATATATATATATAATAAATGAATTTTGTGATAATATATTAAATATGACATGGCCTATATAACATACTCTCGTCACTAGTGCAAAAAATGTTTTTAAGAACAGGGTTTTAAAATCGATTAACAGGGGACCGATTTTAAAAAAAAACGCGGTGACATTTTTGTAAATAATGCTACAATTTTTAAGATCATTGGCATCTGAGTAAGTTTACTTTTATATAATTAAATATAATTCTTTATAAAAACTATTTTTTATTACTCATAATTTCTTAATGCAGTGCTCATTGCATGGCAACTTTTAGTTATTTGTCCTATGGACAACATAGTTGTATGCATTTGCTCATTGCATAAACCTCCTCCTATGGATTTTAGATAATTATTAGATAGGTAAATTATTTAAAAATGTATAATTTCTTTTATTGATTATCATTACATTTGACTTTAATTAAACTATAATCATAATGTCATTTTATCATTAGGGCCATGGGATGATATCATATACTTAAGGGTTCAAAGTTGAAGAAAAAAATGAGCTGGGTCTCTCTTAAAGTAAGATTTTAATTCTAGCAACGATATTTTTTTTAAGTAATTTTGTTTGAATTACTATTCTATTGAAATTGATTTTATATTATTTTTGTAGTCTCATAAAAAAAAAATTATGAGTGCGGATACTATGTAATGAAGACAATGTATACTATTGTCGATTCACAAATAGTATCTGGGTGGACTGAAGTAAGTTTTATAATTTTGAAAGTTTTTGTCTTAAGTTCTCAACGATCACCGTTGCCGCTAGAAGACATAAACACCATTAGGGAGCAATGGGCCACATTTTTTATTGACCATTACTTTAACTAGTTTGGGCTTATGTTTTATAGTATTGCTTTAACTAGTTAGAACTTACATTTCATTGAGTAATGTGGTCCATTTATGTATTAGATGTATTTAAAACTATTCAATTATATATATATGGTTGACATTTATCATCTCTTCTCATTTGTATACAATTGGGTTCATTGAGAAGTAACATAGAAAATACAAATGTTTTGGTTAATTGAAAACATTTGAACTGTCTGGTAATTTATTCATTTGCAGGTTCTATTCTGAGGTGCTCTCAAAACAAGTCAGACATTAAAAAAAATCACTACTTTTAAGATCGGTTATGCCACAACCGATTTTAAAAGTCTTGACTTTTAAGATCAGTTATAAGTCAACTGATCTTAAAAGTTAGACTTTTAAGATCGGTTAATAACCGATTTTAAAAGTCTCACTTTTTAAAATTGGCTTTTAAATTCAGTTGTAGAACCGATTTTAAAAGTTAAAAATAACCGATTTTAAAAGCCTTTTTCTCCACTAATGCGTATAATCAAATTTGTCACCATTATTTTTGTCATTATAACAATTTGATTGAGATGAAACCTTATCAAAAACAATTATTTCTTTTAGCACATGTGCACTATTTTAGTGTCTTGTTTGGTGATAATGCTACTGATAGCCGAGTTAGATTTGGAGCATCGTAGAAAATTTATTTCTTCTAGTAATTTCTTTGGATTAAATAAAAAATTCCTTAAATTATGCATTCAATACTAAGAATGAATTAAAAATAGTCTATCTTTATTTGTTGATGGGATGAAAATTCGTATCAAAATGTAAAAACAAAACAAAGAAGGATTTTTTTAGGTTTTCAAAAAAATAACTTTTCACAAAGATCCAAATTAACAAATTTATTTTATCCGTGAGACTAGTAATTAATATCAATTTTTATGTGAATTCTCTTTGGACAAACTAATAACTAGATTTTCAACTTAGCATGGTTTTGTGTTGAAAAATTATATATTTTATATTTTTAGATAAAATTAAGTATGTAAAACAGACAAATGATATGATTAAATAAAAGTAATAGAAAAAACATATAACACATAAAATTTGATAAAATAAATAAATAAATAAACATGTATAAACACAAAAATTCAACAATTATTATACATATTAATTGAACATAAACATGTGTAACTTGGTATAATTTTTAGAATTTTAGGTTTCATATATATATATGTATAAACACAAAAATTCAACAATTATTATACATATTAATTGAACATAAACATGTGTAACTTGGTATAATTTTTAGAATTTTAGGTTTCATATATATATATATATATATATATATATATAAATTAAATAATAATGAAAATATTGATAAACATTTTAAAGAAAGGATTATCAAAAGAAAAAGAGTTATAGACAAAAGAAGAGGTCATATTTAAGTAATGCTCAACAAACTCAACAGGTAGCATTGAAATAATCACACAAATATTTTTTAGGGGTCTTTAAAACTTGACTCGAAAGAATGAATTATCATATTTTCTTCATTTTCAATTATGAAAACATCGATAAACATTTTAAAAAAAGGATTATCAAAAGAAAAAGAGTCATAGACAAAAGAAGGGGTCATATTTAAGTAATGCTTAACAAACTCAACTGGTAGCTTTGAAATAATCGCACAAATATTTTTGGGGGGGTCTTTAAAACTTGACTTGAAAGAATCAATTATCACATCTTCTTCGTTTTCAATTCTCACCTCAATTTGGATTTTTTTGGTACTCTCTCCACATTCAATTGAAATGAATTTCTTGTTTCAAAAGTAGCCTTCCTCATTCTCTGATGGTTTCTCTGCTTAGTTTTTGTCATGTTTCTTGGTCATTTGTCGAAAATTGACTAGGATGACTATAACCTCAATTCTTCATACTAGATGGACCTACTCTCAAAAGTCTTTCATTCCTATAGACATTCACCCTTAGGCCTAATCTTGAGGACATTCACTTAATGGAGTCATGTGGTAAGTTGCACTTGAATCCAATATATATACAACCATTATGTAGATGTTTTTCGCCTTTAAAACTATGTATTATTTCACTATACAAGACTTTTCCATCATTTGAGGTTGATGCTTCATATTTCTTTTCTTCATTATTTTTTATTATGTCAATCATCTCTCTTCAAAGTGGCCTCTCATGTCACAATTGTAGCATTTATGGTTCTTTCTTT